CAAACATAGGTATGTTTCTTCCCCTTTGCCTGCCCAACATTGTAAGTATGTTTCCCGTATTGTCAACGGCTAGCGCTAGTGACCTACTGCGGGTACCTGAATGCGACCAGACCAGTCCGAGTCTCCACCAAAACCCCAAGCCGGTAGCGACAAGGGTACCTCACTGCGTACGAAACCTCCAGAACACCAATCGCCGTCGTTCTTTATACCAGCACATATGTCAAGAGCAGAAACGCTGCAATCAGCATATGTATGAGGCCCATTCGCGTATGCAATGCTGCAGGTATTCGCAATCTGTCCTTGACGACGCGTCTTCTCTCCCCCTCGTTGCGACGCATCCTCGTCATCGTTCGCCTCGTGCTTTTGAGAGCTATTGAAGGGGTATGATCTATTGGAGAGTGGTGCTTTGCTCTGCGAGGCTGAAGCCGAGTGCGGACGACACGGCTGGCTCATTGGGTACGTAAGAGCGAGTCGCAGGGGCGGAGACGTAAGTTTTTATTTCTACATGGAGGTTAGCGGAGGACTTCTGGGTGCGAGCACTCCTTGGACGATAACCCGCTGCAACTTTTCGACGCTGACCGTCATATCGATCGAGCCACGTTGTGCCAGCAGCGGAACTCCGACGCCCTCACGAGCTAGCGCAGATCCTCGGAACACCTATATGGCTTCAGGATGATGAACGACGGTATCGTGGGTCAATTGGCGCTTTCTGTGACAGTAGCTCGGTGGACTAGTTGGAGTGACAAAATTCTCCCACCTTACCTTTCGAGTTGGCGTTCGGGCATGCGACTGGCTGCCCACCTGCCCGACCCTGGAATGCCCCGCAAAGAAGTCTTCAGCTATCAAGGATATGTATACGCCCCAGAACAGGAAAAGATGTATGTATTTATATTCACCAGACGTGCCTCCCCTACGTCAACGCAGCAGTCTCACAGCACCCTGGCAATGGACCTTGCCAGACAACACACCGCCCAACCCATCCTACGTGTTTCATTCGCTTAACTGACGCGGGTGGATGCTTGAATGCATCTAACCTTGTGGGCATCGGGAGTGGGAAGGAATCGGAGATTTCAGCGGTTAGCAAATGGAATCCTGGCCGGTAGCGTACATGTCCACCGGTGTCGTAGGTAAGTCATCTTGCCTAGGGGCGTTCACATTGCTTCTTATTTGGCAGCAACAGTGGCTTGAAGAAACAAAGTAGTACATCATGTCGGCAGCTTGACCCAATTTTACACAAGATGTTGCTGTATGTTTGTGCAAACCCAATGCTAAATCACGCCAGAGCTCCAAGTTCAAATTTACATGTACTCTGCCAGTGAATGGGGACCCTACGATGTTGACTGGTGCCTGTACATGTATCGTTGGTGTCTTCTCACCACTCTGCGATTGTCTTCCTAGGTCAACTCATAGTAATGAGTCCATTGCTCCAGATCACCCTTCATAAGCCCCTCACAGACAGCCATATTCTTACTAAACAGCGGTCAAGATTCACCGCTTTACATGCACGAGCTTGGGACTCTTACATGCTCGCCGTACCTACGGCGCGATGCATGTTGAGGTCGAGAAACCGTTCGCATCACAAGGGGGAGATCATTGGATGATCAGAAGTCATCTATACCTGGGCAGTTTGCTCATATCTAGCTACCCGAGACGTAACAGCGCCATAGGTGGGGAAAATGTATTGCAACCCCCAAGCGGTGATGGGGCTGTATCCGGGCAAAGGAGGCTTCCTAGTATGATCATTGCGGTCTCGCATTGATCAAACAATCAGTCACCTCTCAAGCATAATCTTCTCGTTGTGTATTTGTTGTGATACACTGCAACGTGCGGGTGTACCTAGGTATCCGGGAAGATGCAACATATGCAGCGACCAGTGCGAGCTGTATGGACGTATGGAATAACATGAAAAAGCGCTTCTCAGGCTTGTGGTCTAGTACATCACCGCTACTGTAGTGGGGCCAGCATGGTTACTAGCAAGGTCGATCACTCAGTTCTGATGGCCTGTGATAGGTAGTTTGAACCCAGAAGAACGAGAACGAAGTTTGTTTTTCGAGAAGTAGATGATGCATGGTGGCGACAAGATGATACAATTAGAACCAGTGGACTAAGATAGGAAGCTCAGAGCTAGGAATTCCAGTAGTTGCATTGAGAATAACGTGGCCTTTGAATCGACAAGAGAATGGATTGCACTGATGTCTATACGTAATTCGAGCTGACGTTACCTAGTCTAGGTAACACACTGCGCGCCCCGTTGTGCGCTGAGTCGGGTATGATGGACATACTGGTCCTTAGACGCTGGCAGAAAAATCTTGAGTAACGCTGTATGTTTCTGCAAAATAGGGGTCACACATCCTAGTCGATCGGAGATTTGCGGCTATGCTCAATAGACCTCGGGATGCTTGGGGTTGTCATGTACACAATTGTGGCTGAGCAGGACCACCAGGGTTTCTAGGTTCTCTCCGTGTTATGGTCTCAATCGCGACCGTGCCTGTGATAGGCAATACCAGTCCTATAGGGTTCACTTATCCGGACGTTGCAGCCCTTAGGTCGTCGGTCGTGGTCAAGTTCAAGTGTGTGACGATGAAGTCATCAATGTAAACGTTGTGCTAAAGCGTAACATGGCGGTGTAATTGACGCTTAGGTTCTCGGTCTTCATGAAGTACATAAGAACAGTTAATCTTCATAAGAACCCGTTCATAACCCAAGATGTCATAAACAGGTGTGAACACACGGGACTAGTGCCTTCGGTATGTAAGGAGTTTGACAGTCCCTGTGAAAGTCATGTTGACTACTCTTCTTATAAACTATAGAAGAACACTCTGAGGCTTTAAGCGGGACAGTGACTTGTTTGGCATACTTACGGACATCGAGATTTCCTCTAGCGGGAGTTAAATGACAGAGCAGATCGAATTACCAACGAAGAACCCGTTAAAGTGGCATGCAAAGACCCATATGATCATATAGCGTGACTGCGACAATTAAACAAAGTTTACTGCGATTTTGGCCATTCTGTCGTTCGCGCAATTGGTAAAAATATCAATGTTGTTGCTAGTATTGATTGCGCCTATCGCCGAGCAGAAGGTAATGGTGGCAGTTATCATCATCGATGGATCAGCGGCGGGTAGCAAAGCTCGAAGCTTAAGCTCCGAGTACCGAGCTACTCAGCCACCCTCCCAATAACATCAACCCGCACCCGAAGTATTGACCGCTCCCATTAACATATAAAATGTTACATCGAATCCTTCCGGTCATATCCCTTGCCAGTGCCGCTCTTGGTGCCATCCCACAACCTCAAAAACCTATCGCGCCTACTATCCTCGACCTCTCCACATCGAAAGACCTCTTACATCTCCATCGCAAACTTGTAGAAACTGAATCTATATCCGGAAACGAAAAGCACGTCGGCGATTGGCTTACGAAATACCTCCGCGCGCACAATTGGACCGTCGAGCGGCAAGAAGTTTCCAGAGACCGTTACAACCTCTTGGCCTACGGCAGCAAACGCGAAACAACCATCCTACTATCCTCACATATCGATGTCGTGCCACCTTATTGGCCGTACTACTATAACGAGACGACCGACGTAATCGGCGGCAGAGGCAGCGTGGACGCGAAGGGCAGCGTCGCACCCATGATAATCGCAGCGCAAGGCATAAAAGAACACCTACAGGATGACATATCTCTGCTCTTCGTTGTCGGCGAAGAAACAGGCGGCGACGGCATGCGCGCATTCAGCAACTGGGACAAACGCCCATCCTCCCACGAAATCGTCATCTTCGGCGAGCCCACCGAGGCGAAGCTAGTCTGTGGACACAAGGGCATGCTAGGCTTCGAAGTCAAAGCGGCAGGCAAAGCGGCACACTCAGGATACCCGTGGTTGGGTGTAAGCGCAAACGACATCATGGTACAAGCACTGGGCGAGCTTCTCAAGCTGCGAGAACACCTCCCATGGAGCACAAAATACGGCAACACGACCATGAACTTCGGGCGCATACAAGGCGGAGTCGCCGCCAACGTCGTCGCCGAAACCGCAACCGCAAACATCGCCACGCGCATCGCAGCCGGCACCCCCGATGTCATACGCGGACAAATCCTCGACGCGCTCAAAGACGTCAAAGCCTTTGCGCAGAAGGAAGGCGGCGATTTGGATGTACAATGGGGTGGCGAGGCATACGGTGTGGTGAACATAAACTGCGATATTGAGGGCTTCGAGACGTTGACTGTCAACTACGGAACGGACGTGCCGCACCTCTCTGGTGACCACAAGAGGTACCTGTACGGTCCCGGCTCCATCTTCGTCGCGCATTCAGATCACGAGGCGCTGAAGAGGCAGGAGTTGGAACAGGCTGTTCTAGACTACCGTCGCCTTATTCTCAAGGCGACAGAGGTAAGGGAGAAGGAGCGGCAGATGCAGGATGAGGAGCAGCTGGAACTATGAACTTGGGTGAAGAGACGGATGTAAATTGTACATAACTAGATACCCAAACACAACGAGTGTTTCCCTCTGCGACAGTTATAGCCACTTTGATGTACCCCCACATTTAGTCTACCAGGAGAAGAGTCTCGCTCAATACAGGTAGGTCTGAAAGCAGGTGCTCAATGCCCCTTCCCAAGCTCCACTTCCCGACTTTTTACGGTCAAGGAGCAGACTGGGTAGATGACACGAAGATTATTCTGGCGCATAATCCCTCATATTTGAAGGGACAGAGCGAACCAGCAACGGGAGAGAATGCATGGTCCGTCTGGGTTCTGTTCGTTGCGCTGGTGAAAGAGACCGAGAGTAACGCGTAGAGAGATGCTTTGGCCGACGCACGGAGCGGCCGAAGGTATGACCGGCGACGATAAGATAGACAGCAGCCAGAAGTGAGATGAGATGGCAAAGGAGGAAGGAGCGATGACACCGCGCTATGCATTCAACTTACCAACGCCGATGATGCTAGCGTCTCATACCTCATATCATACATTTACTTATACAATCATAAAACCGTCAATCAACATTTTCAGCTCGCGATAGCCGGCACGTCGTCCTCCTTTTGCGCAATACCTTCAGCTTCCTCAGTGGCCTTTGCAGTTTCCGACATACCCAGGTCTCTGAACTGCCAGCCATCGTTCTCTTTGACCCAGTCTTTCCGCTCGCCCAAGATAGCTACACTGCTCTCGGCGCCCTTGACGAGGAACTGGTCGGCTACGGCTTGTACCTGCTCAGCTGTGACGTCGAGGAGGCGTTCGCGACGCGTCTGCAGCATATCGTCTGTGACGCCAGACAGGAACAGCCTCATTCCCTCGCGACTGACACTTTGCGGCGCATCGTATCCTTGGAATGCACTCAGCTTGGCTTCTTCGAGATCCTGAGGTGTCCATGCGCGGTCGCGCGCCCATTGCCCTGCTTCGGCCATGATCTTCATACTGTTCTGCGGGTTGGGGTCGCGGTATGAGTACATGCCGAAGAGACCGCCGATGCTACGTGCATATGCACCACCGCCGTATGCGCCACCCTTCTCGCGAATCTCTGGATGAAGTTGCTTGAAGGTAAGGAGCTTCGCGAGGATCTCGAGAGGTGCGCTGGAGGCGTCGGTGTAGGCCACTGTCGGGACAGCGCGGGCGGAGTAGTAGACTTGGTAAGGCAGAGGGAAGAATGACTTGGCGTTCCGAGGGTACTGCTTTTGCTGTGACGTCGAGGGCACAGAGACGTCCTTGGGTAATGTGTTCAAGAAGCGATGTAGTGCCTCCTGGTTTGGCGTTGAGCTCTCGCTACCGCAGTTGATCGCTACGCGGAGTTGGTTGCTGTTCGTGATAGTGAAAGACTGGATAGCTTTGAGTTTCTTGATGACATCGTCTAGCGACTCTTGCGATGCGAGAGCTGTCATAACCTTGACTTGGGTGAGACCCCCGGTTTCTTCTGCTAATCGGCTCACAGGACTGATTCCAGCTTCAGCGAACTTCATGGCATAAGAATGACCAGACTCTGCGATCGAGTTGATGGCACCACTTGCCGCACTCTGCAGGAGCTCTCGAATCTTCTTGCCCGCTTCAGGCCCATCAAAGTCCGTCTCTTGTATGATAGTCCGTAGGAGTTCGTACATGTCGGGTATGTTACCGTCGAAAGCGTAGCCGGAAAATGCCATACCTTCTTCGTACGCGTCGAGCGACAAGGGTGACTGTGAAGAGTGGTAGCCTACGGAGATGCCTCCAGTCTTCAGCTTGATCAGTTCCTCAAGTTGTTCCATCGTCTTGTCTTTGGTACCAAGGCGCATGATGGCGCTGGTGAATAGCGGGATCATCTCTCTTAACTCGTCGGGGAGATCCTGTAATCTGTGCACAGCACGGAAATACGTCAGACCGTTGGTGGGTGCCTCGCGCCACTGGACCTTGACGCCATCCAGCTGAGTATGTCGCAGTGGCTTCCTCTCCTTTTCTCGAGGAATATCCTTGACGTGAACAGTGGGCAAACAGCTCAAATCTTCGTTTCTGGCTTTCTCTTGGACTTCCAATAGCTGAAGCTCTCGCTCTTCCAGGTACTTCTGCGCCTCCTGCTCGCTTGGGAACTGCTTCGTGGTCTCTGCAATCTTTGCCGCTAATCGTTGGCTTTCTTCATCGACGAGTTCCTGGCTGAACGTCTCCGATGGCTGCATGGTGAAGGTCAGGGTTTTGTCGGTGAGTAGGTACTTTTCAATCAGGCTCTCCAAATAGTTGCCTTCAGCGTACTTCTTCTGGAAAGCGTTGACCGTTTCTTGCCAAGCGAGGGCCTCCATTGGGTCGATACCGTTGAACCAGCCAGGCTTTAGTCTTTGGAGGATGCCCATCCCAAAGTTGGCAGTCTTGTGCTTGAGCGAGAGCTCCAGCTGATGTAGGATACCATCGACCTTGATCTTGTCGAAGCCGTTTTTGCGCACCTCGAGTAAGGTCTCCGCAATGGTCTCGCGGACCTTGTTCACATCATCCGCTTTGACGGCGTCCAACCCAATGGACAAGACACCTCGTCGTCCAGCGCTGTCATAGCCAGTATTCGCACTGAAATCAGCACCAAGTCCAGATTCTACAAGATTGCGGTAGAGAGGCGAGCCGTAGCCGCTCATAAGCAGACTGCTCAGTACTCCCAGCGCAAAGTTCTCTACGGCGTCTGCAGTGTCGCCCATCAACCATGTAACCGAAGTCTTGTACTGCCTGTCCTGAGGTACCAGTGGGTCGAGAGGTCCCGCAACCGTGACTTCCTTGGGGCCGTCCAGAGTTATTGGTGCCTTCACTTCCTGATCCACGGCTATCTTGTCAAAACCGTTCAAGCGACTGTCCACCTCCTTCAGATGCTCCACCAAAGGCATGTCTCCGTACGTGAGAATCTTGGCATTGCTGGGATGATAGTGGTCGGCGTGGAATTTCCGTAGCTGTTCCCAAGTCAGGTCGGTAATCTTCTGCGGGTCGCCACCGGAATTGTTGATGGCCGGGTATAGGTGATCTTGGAATTTGGTGTAGAACAGGTAGCTTGCATCCGACATCTGGCCCTTCATTTCATTGTATACCACGCCCTTGAAAACGATGCGCTTCGCGTTGGGGTCCTCCGACTCTTTTGCCAGCGGGTTCTCAGGACCCAACCGCCACCCCTCTTGGGTGAAGTCATTCTCCTTCAGTAACGGGTGTAGCGTCGCATCGAGGTATACGGACATGAGGTTTTTGAAATCTTGCGCGTTTGTCGTGGCGAACGGGTAGCCAGTGTGGTCGGGAAAGGTCCAGGCGTTCATGAAGTTAGACAGGGAACGGGGGAGCATCTTGAAGAAGGGGTCGCGGATGGGGTACCTGGACTGTCAGAGATACGTTGATTGCAATAGCAAGGCGACATACTTCTCACTACCACACAGTGTGGTGTGCTCGAGGATGTGTGGCACTCCGGTGGCATCTGGTGGGTTGGTCTTGAAGCCAATCGAAAAGACATTGTTCGCATCCTCGCGGGCAATGTGCAGATATTCGGCGCCAGTCTTGTCATGCTGGAGATGTAAAGCGGTCAACTCGAGCTCTGGCACCTGCTTGACGCGCTTGAGGGTGAAGCCGTGCAGCTGCTCGCCGACAATGGGAAAGTTGGAGACATCGGTAATAGCGGCATATCCACGTCGAGGCAAGGTCGATAGTCGGTGCGGGGTTATCGTGGCATTTCGAGGGCTTTGGACCTGCCGACCAACGGAACGTAGCATGTTGGAATAGAGGGTGGATGACAGAGTGCCGCGCAGCCTCAGAAATGTCAGAGGCACCCCATCGATGACGCCTGTCGCGCCGATTGGCCGAGGGACCCCATACCAAAAGAGATTAGCCCGCAAAATTACTAAGACGAAAGAGTGCGCCTGGACAGGCTGTTGATGCGTTATACGGCTGGAGACATGTCGGATTGGCTAGCCTGCCAGTGATCTCATCTGTCAGGTCCGATATTGAAGCTCGTGGGCGTTGTGGAGACTCCCAGGTGTCTTGTGCCTTTCGCGATCGACCAGACCACCGACGTCGTCCCCTCCTTCCTCTTCAACACCCGCCACGAGACATTGCCCGACCCGACCCCGACGACTGCATGACCCGACACTGTACATATTGCTACACCACGCCCGTTGACGCCCCCTGCACTGCGCTCCACACCTGTTTTCACCCGAAGCAGCCCCGAGACGCCGGCGGAAGACGTGCATCCTCACCACGCGCATTGTAGACAGGCGGCTGCTGCCAGACGAATGCGCCACTGGACTGCCTAGAGACCTGCATTGGGGACACGTGAGACTGAGTGCATAGGTGGAGGAACCGTCGGAGGCAACACGGGGGATCCACAAGCTGAGGCGCTACACGGAAGAGTCACGACTTCATGGCAACCGTCGCCCAACAGCGCCAGCCGACGTCTGCCCAGTCCCGCCCTCACCACGAAGCCAGCCGCAGTGCATCTGCCTCTCCTGCAAACATGGCACCCGCACAGCACAACCCAGCGCCAGCGCCTGCGCCCGCTAAGAAGGGCAAAGGCAAGAAGGCGACCGACCCCTCGGAGCAGCAGAAGCAGATCCAGGCCAAGATTGCTCAGCTCGAACTGGACCAGGCCGGGGACAAGGAGCAGGAACTCGAAATCGGTGCGTCTACCTCTTGCGACGGAGCTGTGGAGGAGGGGATACTCTGGGTGGCGCAGCCCATGTCTGCACAGCACGAGACTGGGGCCCTATCAAATGAATCGCTGGCTGACGTATGGCATGGACAGAACGCGAAGTTAAGAAAGCAAACCGCGAACTCTCCTCGCTCCTCTCCAACATGGACGGCCCGCTGTCCCGGCTCGAAGTCGTGCAGAAACGATATACCGAACTCCTCTCCGATATGAAGCGCACGGAACGCGAACACCAAAAGGCGAAGAAGCGCGGGGACCAGCTGCAGAAGGAAAAGGACGCGCAAAGGTCGGAGTTGAACAAGGTTACGACAATGAAGGACAAATTGGACAAATTGTCGCGTGACTTTGCAAAGGAAAACAAGAAACTCAAGGACGAACTACACAAGCTCGAATCTAGCGAATCCACCGCCAGGCAAGAACTACACGAGCGTCTCGAACACCTGGTGAATGACGTGGACGATTGCATAGCAGCTGCGAACGGGCCTGAACCACAGAATCAAGCCGAGCAAGAACTGGACGAAATGTATGTGTGGCACAACCAAATTCGGGAGTATGAACTAACAAAGCAGATTTCGTCAGAAGTTCAAGTCGTTCATTGACCAGTACGAGTTGCGCGAATTACAATACCACTCGATGCTGCGACTCAAAGAGCTCGAAATACAGTATCACGCTGCCCGGCTAGAGCAGCAGCGCAAACAACAAGAAGCCGAATCTTCCAAGTCGCACCAGTTGACCCGCCAAGTGTCGACCTTTTCGCAGACTGAGACGGAACTACGCACGCAGCTCAACATATACGTGGAGAAGTTCAAACAGGTATGCAACCCGTTAACCCCTCGTTGGTCTGTATCATCATGGTTAATACTGACCAGATGCAGGTCGAGGAAACGCTCAACAACTCGAACGATCTCTTCCTCACGTTCCGCAAGGAGATGGAGGAGATGTCAAAGAAAACCAAGCGTCTTGAAAAGGAGAACCAGACGCTGCAACGCCACAAGGACATTACGAACCGTAATATTGGCGAGATGGTGGAAGAGCGCCAAAAGATGCAAGAGGAGCTTGCCAGGCGGACCAAGGAAGCTGAGGACCAGCGGAAGAAGATCGCTCGCCTGGAAACACTGTGTCGTGGAATGCAGGCACAAGGTCGAGGCCAGGTTCCGATGCATGAGCTGGATCAGGAGGAGCACGACGAGGAGGATGAAGAAGTCACGGAGAGCGAGTACGAATACGAGGACGAAGATAGCGCAGAGTACGACGACGACACTGAAGAAGACGGTGTTGAACCGGCGCTTGTGCATCGACCATTCGGGCCTGTCCCTCCACCTCCGCCGCAGCCAACACCTGCGCAGGGAAAAGTCAACGGGCATGCACAAGCTAATGGGCAAATGAATGGAGTCAAACGCTAATAGCAATATCATAGAGACTCACTCTTCGGCCCATCTACGTCTTCTCAATTTGCAAATGATGTCCCGCCTCCGGCTTCGAAATCGCTCGGAGATATCGTGAAGCAGTGGAGTTGGGATGATGCAGACCTACCGTCTATTGCGGACTTCGATATGACTGACCAAGCATTCGACGAGCTCATGGAGCAGATGAATTGGGATGATGTGACTGCGCAGTTCGATGCGGAAATGGAAGCAATGGCTGACAAGACTGCTCGTCTTCTGTCAAACGATGCGGCGAAGTCGGAGGAGCCAGAAGAGCCAGATTTAGGTGTTGATTGAAGCGTCTTTATGCTCCGCAATTGGCTGGCATACGTGAGTATAGTGCGAGAGGTCGATTATTGATAACGACATCGATAGTTTGGATTATGATCTCCAACATTCATATCACCGTGCTCTCCAGCAGAACATTTCCCATACTATTACTATCGTGACTGCCAAATATGCATGTTTATTCAGCCTACGACGGGCGAATCTCGGCAATGGCAACGATGTATCGAGTCGAGCTAAGATGCCTCGGCTCGTGCACCCACGTTTTCCCCGCAAAACCCCTGGCAGTCGAGTATGCCAGTAGGCACGGCCGCTATTTAGCATGCACATTCCCATACTCACCATGCGGTTACACATAGCTTCATTGCTGCCAGAAGCACGCTCCTCTGACCGTCATTCGCGTTATCCGACGTGACCTACTCCATCTACTTTCATTTATCAACCACCCGCCACCACAGCCTACGCCGTCATGTCACCACCGGCACTGCAGACGCCGCTTTCGAAGCTGCTGGGCATCCAGTATCCGATTATCCTTGCTGGCATGGCGCGCACCTCTGGTGGCCCCCTCGCAGCTGCCGTGTCAAACGCTGGTGGCCTAGGTGTAATTGGCGGTCTCGGATACACACCGGAACAGCTCCAATCGATCATCGACGACCTCAAGTCAAACCTCCGAGACAAGAACCTGCCCTTCGGTGTCGATCTCGCACTCCCACAAGTCGGCGGCAGCGCACGCAAGACGAACCATGACTACACCCATGGACAGCTCGACGACCTCATCGAAGTCACAATCAAGAATGGCGCAAAGCTGTTTGTGAGCGCTGTTGGTGTACCGCCCGAGCGAACGATCAAGAGGCTTCACGAAGCAGGCATCTTGATCATGAACATGGTCGGACACCCCAAACATGCGAAAAAGGCACTAGATGCAGGTGTGGATATCGTATGCGCCCAGGGTGGAGAAGGCGGAGGACACACCGGCGATATCGCGAACAGCATCCTGATACCCTCCGTCGTGGACGTCGCGCGCAAATACAAGAGCCCTCTTACCGGACAGCCAGCTATTGTAGTGGCGGCGGGAGGCATCTACAACGGCCGCAGCCTGGCAAGCAGCTTGATGCAAGGCGCACAGGGCGTATGGGTTGGCACGCGATTCGTGGCATCAACTGAAGCGGGCTGCTCGCAAATGCACAAGGAGAACGTGGTCACAGCCGACTTCACAGATACAGGCCGGACGCTGGTTGTCAGTGGCCGACCGTTGCGCGTCAGGTACAACGACTACATCAAAGAGTGGCACGAGCGCGAGGACGAGATCAAGAAGCTCACGGAGGCGGGAGTTGTGCCGCTGGCGAAGGACATGGACGATGGGAAGGATGTGGATATCCCGTTCCTGATGGGCCAGGTTGCGGGGGTTATCGGCGATATCAAGCCCGCAAAGGAGATTGTCGACGAGATGGTGCAAGAGGCGATCGACATGCTGAAGCTCGGCCAGACGTACATTGGAGGGCCGAGCAGTAAACTGTAGATAATAACAGTAGATTTTTGTGTCTTGACAACAGTCCATCGCATCTCGGTCCCTCGGTTGGCGTGTAACACAACGTCAAAAGAAGCGCATACATGCATCCGGCTCTCAGTCGAAGAACACATTGCACAAACGTTATTGACTTGTACACTCGAAACGAGAAGGATGTCCAAACCACGTCGCGTCGCATTGTGGTGGTGGTGCCTGCGCCTTCCCAGAGCAGCGGTGGATGATCTGCGACCAGGATCGCGCTCCCCGAATCCATGGCAGCACCGCAAGCTCAGGAGAGATCTGACGGCACGCCCAGTCCCCGTCCGCCTGGGAGTATTCACAATTAATATACACTTCTTCGCACTCGCGGTCGGCGCAAAGCTAGTATTATTATCCTCGCACATCTCGAACGCCCTAGGCCCCTGGCGTTTGCGGCCTTCTCCACTTTCGCTGCCACCAGGGCATATACGGAGCCGTCTCTCTCTTCCGCGGCGCTCGCTCGCCAGTCCGAACTCCTGCAACCCATAGATGACGCTGGTTGCGCAGGCGACACCACGGAGCAGCGGCGCATCATTCCATGCAGTCAAATCTCAGAGCCCAGGCTGAGATTCAGGCCCAGAGGAAGAAGGTAGGCCCCGTCCCGCTGCCGTCCAACGACGCTCGTGCGCCGCAACAAGCAATTCCCCCAGGCGCATGTTTGCAACACGCATGCTGAGACGCAAATTATAGCAGCTCGCGAATTCGTACAAACAGTTGCTCGAGTAAGTCTCTTCTTTGCTTTTGCGCGCCGGCTGCGCGTTTCACCGGGTCCAATTCGCTGACGCAGGGCCAGTGAGTTCGCCGCGACTGATCTCAAGACGGTCGGCAACTATACACTGGGGAAACTTATAGGCAAGGGCAGTTTTGGCAAGGTTTACTTGGCGTCGCACAAACTCAGCAATGGCTCAAAGGTACCACCGGCAGGACGGTTACGAGGAATCACGCTGATCGCAAGCAGGTCGTGCTCAAGAGCGCGAAGAAGGACGACGCCAACCTCGCGCGCGAGATCCATCACCACCGCCAATTCACGCACCCACACATAGCCCGCCTGTACGAGGTCATAGTCACCGAGAACCTAGTCTGGCTGGTACTCGAGTACTGCCAGGGCGATGAACTCTACAACTACCTACTGGCCAAGGGCGCCCTCGAGCCCGCCAGAGTCCAGCGCATCTTCACCCAGCTCGTCGGCGCCGTCACCTACGTCCACAACAAGTCGTGCGTCCATCGCGACCTCAAGCTCGAGAACATACTGCTGGACAAGCACGGAGACGTCAAGTTGGTCGACTTTGGTTTCACGCGCGAGTACGAGGGCAAGTCCAACTACCTGCAGACATGGTGCGGAACAATCTGCTACAGCGCGCCGGAGATGCTCAAGGGCGAGAAGTACGCAGGTGAAAAGGTGGACGTTTGGAGTTTGGGCATCATTCTTTACGCGCTTCTAGTGGGCGAGCTGCCTTTTGACGACGACGACGAAATGGTCACGAAGAACAAGATACTGAAGGAGGACCCCAAATATCCGGAGCACTTCCCGCAGCAAGCGAAGGAGTTATGTCAGTCGCTACTATCCAAACGGCCAATCTTGCGACCTACACTGGCGGACATACTACAGAACCCTTGGTTATCGGAACATGCGCCGCGCCAGCAGGAGATCCTGAAGCTCCAGCAGCCGGCGCCTTTCTCGACCGAGCTGGAGAAGGAGGTCTTGCAACGCATGCGCGCTGCCGGGGTGGACATTGACATGGTGATTGAGAACGTGCTAGCCCAAAGATGCGACTCGTTAGCTGGTTGGTGGGCACTGCTGCTCGAAAAAGAGGAACGCAAGGCAAAGAGGCGAGAGCGCAAGCGCAAAGAGAAGGAAGCAGAGGCTAAGAGCCTCCGGCGACTGAGCGCTGCAAGTAGTCGACTTGACAAACTTGCGCCTACCATAAGAGAGTCAGACGAAGAAGGCATTCACTCTCCCTCTACGCCTAAGAGTCGCGGCAGGACCACAAATCGAAGCAGCTTACATGGTGAGTATCACGGCGGACGTCAAGAAACGCTTCTAACTTGAGACAGGTGCTCCCGAACTGCCAAAGCTGCCAGAGCTAATTACCTCACCCAATCTCACAGTCGACGACAAGCCGCTCCCTCCAATCGATACCCGTCGGGGTCGGAAGTCGCATTCGTCCTCACGTCCGCCACCACCAGCGAAGGATCTCGACAGGCGGCGTTCACGCAGCAGCATGCTACAGGTCGTATCTACCAATCCAGATCTTCTTTCTCCCAACGGCTTCGTGCCTAAGCGACGCCGGAAACAGCCCTTCATCAACCACCTTTTGACACTTCGAAATTGGATAAAAGAGACGTCGAAACGAGCGCGATCTCCGGGCTCGAAAGCCAGCAGTGGACAGTCGCCAAAGATACCTCCAAGCAAGTCTTCGGATTCAACACGAAGACAAAGCACGGCGAATCGGTCGTCTGTACACACGAACCCCAGGTCTCCGCCCACACCACAAATGCCTGGCCCGAGACCCCGAGGCTCAACACACGGCTCAGGCTCCATGAGAAGGCTCTCAGCATCACCCGCTCCACTAACACCACGATCCTCATACCGTCGCTCGTCTGGTGGTCTCCGCGGTCGAAAGTCCACTTCGTCATCTGTATCCTCGATCCGCAGCATGCCACACCACCACCACTCGCACTCGAAAGCCTCATCCACATCCTCCGCCTCTCTCGCTTCTCCCGCCGTTTCCACAAGCGGCCACTCACACAAACCCTCCAAATCCCCCCACAACAGCATCAAGGTCCTCCCCGCCACCCCCACCTCCTCAAGCTTTCCTTCCAACATCCGCCTTGTACGTTCTGGCTTCCCACCCGGTCTCAACGAATCCAGCGCCGCTTTCGGAAACGGAAACAGCATTCCCCCACAGTCCCCGGGTCTTGTCTTCGCAAAGAGGAGGAAGAGCCCTTTCAAAGGTCCCATGCTTAATGTTAATACCGGAGGTCTGAATGGCAGCTCGACAAATGGTAGTGGCGGCTGGAGGAGTAGAAGTGGAGAAGGTGGTATGGGGAGTCGGGGAACGAGTGTACAAGGTCGCAGGAGTGGAGAGATTTTAGGCATCACAGAGGAAGATGAGGAAGAAGACGAGGAGGTCGAAGAGGTGGATACTTTTGGCGGGAAGTTGGGTGAGGGCGAGTTCATTGAGGAGGAAGCGCCTGGGCCGTTGACCCCACCCAAGGAGAAGTTCAAAGAGAAAGCTTGATGATTTGGAAAATTGGCGCGAGATTGAAGAGGAGGTTTGAGGTTATTTTGGTGAGAATGTGGGGGTTGGCCGCTTGTTATGGCCATTTTTTGGACTGTGGTCGTTGTTCTTCTTGCTGCGTGGTACTTGTTCACTTCCTTTCGTTTCTTGCCTTCATCTTCATGCTCTCGCGCTTTAACGGCATACATTCGCGGCGTTTGTCCATTTCATCGGATACCTACATA